CTTCTGAAAAACCTCAGGTTGACAGCTCTGGATAATGCTGTGCAGCAATTTTGATTGGGGGAGTACTTGGCTACTCAACACTATGACCATAAATTAGTTTATTTTAATGATGGAGAAGACTTGCAGTACCATGAGAGTCTGTGCAACACGCCCAAAGGCTGCTCCTTGCTGCTTTGAGCAGCTCTGTCAGATCATCTTCTGCGTTCTCACTTCGCAAAAGGTGCATTACCAAGACACGAGATCCTGCTGTGATGGCTGTTTAAGTAAAAAGGCATCCTTTCTGATTTTGCCAAAGTGCCAGTTGTGGGATGTTGACAGTTCACACCCAATTACACACAGTGATGGATTCATATTTCTTGATCAATGACATTGAAGCTTTCTGGAACAACATTGCACAATGACCCTTCATTTCAAAGATCAAAGAAGATGATTAGTGACATGCGGAAACAAGAGTCAGAAATTCATGCATGTCAAAACTAGTTTTAACCATTCTCTGTCTGTAACAATGCTCCTGAACTGGAAGAAACTGCAATCACTCCATCACAGAGAAAGGGTTTGATAGAAACAAGCAAGAGGAGAGATTATTGGAGCAGGAGCACAATCGTCTAAAAGTACCTCCATTCAGCAAAAGTAACATCACAATTTGAAATCAAAGGCTAAATACTTGTGCCACCTGTTGATAGAACTTCAGATTTTGGGACCTTGAAAATATGGTGTAAAACAGGAGCTTTGATGGAGTCTCAATGTACTGCAGTGTGACAAAGCACTGATCACGGTGATAGTGGATCAAAGGTTGGACTTGATGATCTCGGAGGTCCCTTCCAACCCAGTTGATTCTATGATTCTATGATCCTATGATATTATTACAGCTGACCAGTCTTTACTTAAGTGTTTGAATCAGGGTCAAAAAGGAGTGTGGTATTTAAAATGATCTTTTACCCTATTAAAGCCATAATGGCCTTTTGTTTAAACCCCTGAAGGTTTGTCCTAGATTATCCAAAGGGAATGTTACATCCTTCAGAAAACACAACAGCCTGTAGAAAGGAAATGGACTTGATCCACATCTTGTTTTTTTTGTGTAAACATAATCATAACTATGTGAGCCTATCCAGGAGAAATAACATGTGGATCAGTATTTGACTAATGAGAACAATGCCTGTACTTGTTTTAGTGACAACCATGCCTGTGAGCGTTCAGGAGCACCAGCCAGGTCATGTTGAAAATTGCTCAGCAGATTAGAAAACAAATTGCAACAAAAGTCGTGGTGAACGTCAGGGCCCCTCCGGGCAGTGCTGGCTGCACCCTGCTGCTAATGGGGTTCACACCAGATCCTCAGTGCATTTACACCCTCCAAAGGCCAGATCTGCCAGGTCACTTGGTTTTCTGTTTGGAAAGGGAGGAAACCCACCTCTGCAAATCCATGAGAAAGAGCAGATGTTCCCTGGGAACATTTCTGCAGAGTAGGAGTCACTGTTGGTGCCGGCGGATTTGCTGTGTCCCACCTTTCGCCCTCTTTGTGGGAGTGCCTGGGAAACTTCTGCTGCCATCAGAACCTTTCACACCCAGAGGCCTCCCAGTGCAGCAGCAGCATTTCAGGGACAGAGGAGGAATTCTAAAACACTTGGCAAATCACAGGACTTGCAAGACTTTGACCTTGATCGATACACAAGCTGTTGTGCTGGACATTCGCAGTGCAGTTCATACCCTGAGAGGGAGTGGGGAACTGAGAGAAGGTAAGTGCGTGCAGTTAGAGGGGAAGAAATCAAAAACAAGGTTAAAAAACTAAAACTGATAAAAACACAAGATTAAGACAGAAATGGAAAGAAGAAAAATCACCAAAGACAACAAGGCTCTTCAATGTGGGGACAAGACAATCATGCAATAGTCTTCCAAATGCTTTTAAAGCTGAATGGGCATTTATATTTGTTTTCTTGCATTTTTGAAACTTCAACAGTAAAAGCTGTAAACAGTTACTCTGAAAGAAGCCAAACAAATCCACCCTGTTCAGACATTCTGATATGCTACTGCTTGTAAACTTTCCCTTAAAAATGTCTTTTGCAAGCAAGAAACTCGCCACATGTTTGTAAATGGGAAATTAAAGATAAGAAATCCTGAATAAAGCGGGTCTATTGATATTTGCATTCAAAGCACTTTGCAACTATCAGTCAATTACCTCAACGTGTTTTCTTGCCGTCCCCAATCTGGCTGAAAAATGCAAGCTCACAACTTCTCTGTGAGATAGGTGTTATTAAACCATTTTTCAGAGCTGGAAACAGAGGTGAAGGAGAGGTGGGTGGCTCATCCTGTGCCATGGTGGTGCTAGTGGCAGAGCTGGAAATAGACCTTTAGTCTAGATTATAAGGCAAGACATGGGGCAGTTTTTTTCAAAAGTTGTTTCCACCTCAGGATTTTATAAGCCTCCATCACACAGGTGAATTGAAATTTTATCTTCAGATACAACATGCCTCCTGCCACTCACATAGCTCATTTTTCTTCTTATGATAATTACAGTAAAAATAATTCTTCTTTGTGAAATCCTACTTTTAGCTCAGTGTTTCCCTCAATCACTGACTCTCCACTGCTTCAGCACAGTAATTTCTGTGTTCTTATAACTCGACTGTTTTTTCTTAGGCAGTACTAGGATGAGCAGTGGGAGGACAGAGGTATGATCTGGTGGTGTTTATCAGTTTCAGTTGTCAGCTTACAAGGCATTATGTGATGTACGTGCCCAGCTCTCACTGTTTGCACTGCTGGCAGTTTGTATGATTCCTCTTTATTGCCTTTTGGCTTTTTCCCTTAAAAACAAACAAGTAATCTACTGTTTCCCGGGGAAGGACAGGTAGTGTTTTTTACATCCAATAAGGAATCCATTCTGGGACACTCATTTTTACCCTGATTTTGATCATAACAACAGCGCTTCTCTTCTATGAGCAGTCATTCACTCTGTTCTTGCATTATATATGTTATTTGCTACATATACTTAAACCATATTTTATTTATGATTTTTTTTCCAGTGACAGTTCAATTTGTGCCCAGGCAAAGGCATTTTGGAGTCAGAGAAGATTAGCTGTTTTGCATTAATTATCAGAGGGAACTACGCAGTTTTTTCTCCACATCTATGCAGGGAGCAGCATCCAAGGAATATTTGGATCCCCTTGTTCAAATGTCAGGCAAATCTCTTCTAATGAAAGGTTTAAAATAGTTAAATAAGATGGATCAGGATTTTTCAGTCATTAGAGTAGTTCTTAATACATGACACATCATTTTTTCCCTAGAATACCATAGTGATGTGAGTATCCTGGTAAAGACTAAGGGTGAAATAATTAAAAATGGCTGAGTGACCTTGAAAGTCATGTCTTTCTGAGCATCAGTAGGGGCTGTGCACATTAATTAGTGTTTTTCAAACTCTACTCTTAATATTTACCAAAGCAGCAAAACTTTCCCTCAGTCAGTCAAGGGCAGGACTGGCTAGCCTGTGACTGTTGGCATATTTGTCTTTATCATGATTGTCTTAATATATGGTTTAATTTGCAAAAATACATTTAATATTTTATTAAGGAAAGCTCCTTTGAAAATATTTGTTTATTACAGCTCCATTTGAAAACATGCCTAAGAATAACAGATTCAATTGCTAGTACTGCAGAGTAGCCACTTCTTATCAATGACAGAAATGGGAGAAAAAGGACACAAAAAATATGATTTATTAGCCAGGACATTAGTTCAAAGGTTGTAAATGCAACTAGTTAAATTTTATCAATCTTGATCATAACCAAATGTTAACTGTAGTATGACATTGAAAAAAATCTTTGTTTTCACTGTATTTAATAAAAAAGCCCTGCAAAGAAGAAATTGGTTAAGGTTTACAGTTATGCACATCTTATTAATAAAAGAAGAGTGAAATGTCTGACAAATGTCAATATATAGCAAATAGAAAATTTTTGCAGCAGTGTCTATTTTATTGCTAAGTTATTTCAGAAGTCTCATAGTCAGGAACACTGGAGACTAGACTAGACAAGACACTGAGGTAACAAAAGGCAAAACAATCTTGTGGTAATAAAAAAAGGGAAAAGGAATAATGTTTTCCATTGTCTTTAGTGGTTTTATGCTTGGCCTGTAAGTTATTGCAGTCAAAAGATGGAAAAAATGCCTTGTTGATATTTGGTTGGGTCTCTCAATGTTATTTTATTAAATTATGGTGTGATTACAATTCTGTGAGTGTTAAAGTAAATAATTTTAGATAAGGAACTTTAATATATTTGTTCTTTACCTACTCAAAGGTTGATCATACTGTATTTGTTGACTCTGAAGACAAATAACCTTGTCAAGGGATGCTTAATTGCCGACCAATACCATATGTGCTTGCAGAGATTGAAATATGCACTTGTGTTCATAAAGGTAACTCAAGCCAGAGTCAACTCTCCACACAGAGCCAAATTTTGATTCTCTGGTAGAATTTGCCTGCCTCTAGGGGCTTAGATTACTGCTTGGATAAAGTGCACTGATTCAGTTCCACCAGATGAAACAGAAATTCCAGCTGTGAAGGACTCCTGCAATTCAGCAGTTTCCCAACGCAGCTGACTCTGAGCACGAGCTTAGACACTTTCCCCATACAGGGCTCAAGCTTTTACCAGCCACTGATTCTGCTTCAAGTAGAGGTAAAGAAAAGAATGATGGTTTTTTGCTTCCATCATGCAGAAGGTGTTGGGAAGATGGTCTATAACCAGAGGATTGTGTTGCAATGCTTAGCATGAGTTAAGGCATCCAGGACAGATATAACTTGCTTACAAATTTACTTTAGGTTTGGACATTACTTTATGCTGCTTCTTTTGATCATCCCTGGATTTCAACATGTTTTCACTAGAAACCCAAGTTGGAGAGGAAAAGGTAACATTGTGTGAGTAAAAGCATTTTCAGTAAATATTTTTAAAGCATAGTAAGATAATTTTTAATTACACATTCCTCTACATTGCAAGAGTTCCAGCACAAAGCTGGTCCAAAGACCAGCTAGATGCAAATGACATTTTCTCATTTCATTATCTAAGCTAGCTGATAATTTCCTGAAGATTTTAAATGGGCAACAGTTGAGTCATGACCTTTCTTAAGCTTATGGAGGTAAGGAGCAGTCACATTGGGACTGTGTGAAAACAAGCAAGTAAGTTCAAGCACATGCATTTACTTACCCTTTCATGGACATCAATTTACTTTAATCTAGACAGTTCACTTAAGTGAACTCCAGGTCCCCAAGACAACCTCCTAAATAGTTTAATAAAGCACCTGAGGAACAGCTGTTGCCTATTCTCAGGGATGATGCCATCACACCTAAGCTGATTTTATACCCCTGAGCAGGCAGGACCAGGAGAGTCTAGAAATGTCAGTTGAAGGAACATCTGAAGATCATCTACTCCAGCTTGCTTGAAACAGGATGATGACCAAAAGCAGAAATGACAAAAATGACCAGGATGATCACCAAGACCAGTAATGACCAAGAACAGGGATGATTCTATCCCCTCCTGGCGAGACTGTGCAGTCAAAACTGGATTACCAAGAGCAAGCATGCAGACAAGAGAAAAAAAATAAGTTTCCCAGCCTCCTCCCCTGTTATGTTACAGCTGAGAGCTTAAGCCTCTTGCAACGAGCTAAGTGCAGACTTCATATAAATCATGTCTTTCGCCCACCAACCAGCTGCATTAAAATTAATAAAAATGTAAAGAGAAGGTCTTAGATTAATTAGCAATTGAGTATGGACTACACTTTTATGATCTGTAGATATTAGGCAGTTGCAAGAAGATCTCTTTAGTGCATAGCACACAGCCAAAAACCAAAGGCATGCATCTATAAATTTCATAAATTTATATTGCACTCTGTGTATATATAGAACTGCTGCTTGCATGTACCACAAACATTACAGCGCTGAACAAAACTGCCTGTTACAAAATTATGGTTTGCAATTTACCTTTCCAGAAAATACTGCTATAAGCGATGTCCAGTTTTCATTCTGGCTCTGTGCTGCCTCTAATTTTCCAGCTTGCTTGAATGAAGCAGAAGAAGGTCAAGTGACTGGTCCAAAGTTCCACAGCTACTCCAATGTTCACTTGGCTACTAGGGCTTGCTTAATCCCTTACACCACACAGCATCCTGCAGGGAAATTATAGAAGAGGACAGTGAGACTGCCAGTTATTTTTCTCTATTAAAGATAGTGAGATTGCCAGTTATTTTGCTCTATCAAAACCTTATATGTAGTGTTTCTTATATTCTAGTTTGAATTCAGAAACCTTCTAGGCTGAGGCTGCTACACAGACTTAAGAGCGCAAATATCACAGAAGTACTTGAAGTAATAGACAGCACCTTATACTTTATCATTATTTTCTTGTCACAGCTATATTTGTTTTGCAGTCTTCCTGATCTGAATTTGTGAAATTGAGTTCTTGACTTGGGTGAAGCACTGCAGAAGGGACTTTGAAAGCACACTGACAAAGAGATGGAGAGCTGGAGTCTGTTCCCACAAAATCAGCAATAAAACTGACTTCAATAAGTGCAGGGTGAGGTGGGGAATGACTCGATGCAGCGGCGTCCCACTGGTTGCAGTGACCTGTTTCAGTGGGCTTGAAAGCCAATTTTCAAGGAAGACAGACTCCATCCTGCTTTGCCATCAAACTGAGGTCACACAGAGCCTGTGCAGGCTACAGGATCAGAGACTGAGAACATCTAAATTTTTTTGTAGGCTGATCACATTTTTCAAGTGAAAACATTGAGGTACTTTGAAAATGAATTGCATATAAGAAATTTAAATAAATTAAGATCTGTAGCTTACTGGTATCACAGTATTTTTTAATGTAATTAATAGCATATCAAATGGATTGCTCTTCTAAGATAGGTGAATTATCAGAGAGATAGCTGTTATCTACTACAAATACTTTTTTGTTATGTGCTAGGTTTATGAAGGTCAGCCATGCTGTGATGTGAGTGACTGTTGAAAATATTAGAGATTTCTAACCTGTACTGTTCCTGTTATTATTGTAAGAATTGTATAAATTGTAATAAATTGTAATACATACTCAACCTTTCACTTAGTTTTGACGGTGTGTCCCCTACACTGATACAGCAACTGGAACACGTGGCAAACCAGAAAAGTGAATTTTTTCTGTTCATTGAAGATATAGGGTGAAATGACTGAGAGGTTAAATCCCAGTATGAGTTGCAAGTCAAGTGAAACAACGAAAAATTTCACTTTGATGAGTCAGATCTAAGAATGTTGCTGTAATGAAGGATAATTATGATGACAGAAATTAAGGAAAGAATTACGATAATTGAAAACTCTGTTGTGGCAGATATTAAAAGACCCTGGAGTTCTGGGGCTGTTAAACATTACCATTAAAATCCTGGTAATTAGAAATACTTGACAAAGGATGGGTGAACATTTAGCAAAACAAAAGCTTAACTATTAGTTTCTGATAATCCTGTTAAATTGCACACTGTGTTTATTACATGTTTGAGTCTTCTGTGACTGAGACTGCTTGATGGCATAGGTGGTTTCCAGCATCTAAACCTTCCATCTTAAATCTTTGGAAATAGATTTAACTACAAAAGAAAAAAAAAAAGAGAGAGAGAAGACAATACCAGGAAAGCTTGTGCTTCAGCCCATTGCTCTAATCAAGCACAGACACGATAAGATATATGAAGGTCTAATTCCCATGAAAGTTTGCTTGTGACCCTGTTCTTTGCATTGTATGACTGAAATGTCTCAGTTCCTGCACAGCTGCCTAAAGTTCATTTCAGGCTGAGTTTGTGGCTGTATGATGTGCATTATTCCACTCTCTTTTGTGCATTTTTGGGGTACTTTTTGTCTAAGGGAACTGCTTATATTTTCTATTTTGAGAGATCTTCTTAGTTTACCTGTCCTTGGGTTACAGAAAAAGCTGCTTCTGATCATCTGTGTAGAGATCAAGTGCAGGAAAAGGGCATCCAAAAGACCAAGGACGTGTAAGTAATTTTCATACTGGTGTGTATGGTAAGGCTTGATTAGTTTACAAATTATTTTCAACCATTTGAAAATGAAGTGATTTGGGTCCTGGAACACAAAGAAGAAAGAAATTACTGGACTATTCTTATTAGAGCCAACTTGGCAGAATTTGCAACTTGACCAGCAAGAAGCTCCCATTATTTTAGGAACAGTATGGGGTCCAACCCTGTAAACCCACAGTCCTGGCAGCCCCAGTGAAGAAGTCATGGTGTCCATAGCAACACACTGCAGTGTGAAGTATTCCTGCACCTCCTCAGCTCCCATCCTGGCACTGCTGGGACACGGACAAACTGTGCGTGACTGATCCTGTTTGTGTCACCACTGTTTTAGCTCCACATTACAAACCTTGTTTCCCCCACAAAGAGCATCTGCTTTCTGCATGACATGTTTTTAATGTGCTGATTTATCATTGCCAGATACAGGATTTTTATTGCTGAATTTTGAATATTGTATTTAAGGTGCTCTTTTTTTCGATTACAGATGTTTTACATATAAATTGCCTCATATTACAAAAAATATACTCTGTACTTCTTGAGCAGTCTCATTCTCATGTCTCTTACATTTTGATACCTTACTCTGGATGGCTAAGTGGATGTGAGTGTTGTCTGCTTGGGAGAACTGCAACCCAGGCTACAGCTCTGCAGTAGTCATTCCCCCTTGCTCAGGCATGGGCTGTGGTGTTTGAGGAAAAACACAGGTAACAGAATTTTGGGTTCTGATCACAAATTTCAGCTGTATCTGCACAGTGGGTAGCCCAAAAGTCTGAGATTTTGAAGAGCTCACACTAAGGCCAGAACTGCCAGAGGCTGCAATGCACTGCCAGCTTTGAGCAACCTGGCTGGAGGTGGAGTCACAGAGCTCAGGAAAAACACTGCTGACATGGAGCCATCTCTGTCCTCTCTGGGACAAGGCAGGGAATAGGAATAACAGCTTGTGGGACCTCTGTGAGGCAGTGCAACTGGAGGAGCACTCATCCCTGGAAACTGTCAGACCCTAAAGGGTGATGAGAGGATGCTGGCTCCTGTCTCTGGAGCAGCTCGGTGGTGAGCAGGTTTGCAGCCATACGGCAGCAGCCACGCGCTCTGGGAGAGATCAGCTGCTGTTTGGAGCCTGTGACACCAGGGAACTGCCTGTCTGGTGTGCCTCGTGTCTCTGCTGTGCCAGGAGAAGAAGGATGCAACAGCAGAGATTGACTGCCTGGAAAGTGGCCAGCCTGGCCCTGCCTTCCACCCTCACCAAGTCTGGCTGGGATGAGGCCACTACGGACATGGAAAGGGCAGCAGCTCAGTTCATGATGGAACAGTGGAAGAAATAGTCTTCTCAAAAGTAAGTTTGCATAGTTACATGCCTGTGTTGGACTCTGTTTCACTCTAGTTCATTAAGGTCACCCATGTCAGAAGTTGCTTGGACTCCAAGATCCTGCTAAAGGTGTTCCAATATCCAAGAAACAGGTTTGGTCCTAAACTTTTGTAGATAATACGAAATATTCATAGTAAGTTATTGCTTTCTTAGCACTGTAATGTGGAAGCACTGAGACCTAAGCAAGTATGACAAATTTCTGCTCCTGCTGGCATCAGAAAAATTACTTGCATCATGTTTTGGACTTTGAGTTCATATAAAGTATTCATGAAGATACATGCCAGCTAATTCAGTACATGGGAGCAGCTCAGAAATTCTGCACTGAAACATGTCTTTCCTCAAATGTCTGGAAAGTTTCCAGGTATTGTGTCAGGCCACAATTAATTGAACATAATTAACTGAGCAGCCAAATTTCCCAAACTGCCTTTGGATGATCATTTCCAGCTGGTGACTGACTATGTCATGTTGCAATGGCTGTAACAGTTTTTAAAGTAAGCAAAAAGATCAAGTACAACTTGATGTCTAGAGAGACTCCTAAAAATGCTCCTTCTGTTTTCTTTCCCCTCTCTAGTTCCCATCCAAAGGCAGAAACAACACCAAATTTTTGATGTGGTTTACTACTCTTTTGTGGGATCCTACTCCATGACAGCCAAACAGCCAGGAGATGAGGTGCTGTTTGCAGATGTGGCCAGAAGAAAGAAAAGGACACTACAGGCTGCAGAAAAGAGATGGAAGAGATGCAGCAAATATAATGAAATATCTGCTCAGAAGGGGCAGAAACAAAGAAAAATTAAATGTTACAAGAGCTGAAAAAGAAAGAGACAGCTTTTTGCTGGTAAAGAGCATGAGTAATTATGTTATCCTACATAATCTGTGGAGAAGACTGGAAATCCCAGAAGGAGATAATGACACTACCAGATCATGGCTGGAATGCAGCTTGTAGGAGATTGAAATTTCTGGAAAAGAGATCTTTCAAAGAAATATTTCTTCCTGCTTATGAGAAGGGGATCTTCCTCCTGTCACCAGGTTTTTCATCAAGACAATTGTAAGAATGTTTAATTTAATATACCATAGAATTATTTGGGTTGGAAAGGACCTTAAAGCTCATCTCATTCCAATGCCCCTACCATGGGCAGGGACACCTTCCACTGCACCAGGTTGCTCGAAACCACATCTGACCTGGTCTTGAACACTTCCAGGGATGGGGCAGCCACAGCTTCTCTGGGCAACCTGTGCCAGTTCCTTCACCACCCTTCACAGTAAAGAGTTTTTTCCTAATATCTGATCTAACCCTGCCCTCTGTCATTTTTAAGCCAGTCCACCTTGTCCTATCGCTACTTGAAAAAAGTCCCTCTCCAGCCTCCTTGTAAGTCCCCTTTAGGTACTGGAAGGCTGATATCTATCAGTAACATTTATTTCTACACGAAGGAATATCAAGATGCTGCAGAAAATAACCTGTAAGTGCAGTTCTGTGAGCTGTGAAATCCTGAAACAACTTTCCCATAGCTGTTCCATGCAGCCTGGCTGCTTCCCAGGGAGTGCAGAGCAAAGTAGTTGAAATAACACCACCATCTGCTGGGCACCTGGTGAATTCAGGGAATGGAGAGCTCGTTCAGAGATGGAAGTGTGTGTGACTCCCAGCCACTGCTTCTCTGGTACATGCTAGAATATGCTTGGTAAGCCCTCATCATGTAATTCTTCATTATTTCTATAATGAAGAATTATTATTTCTGACTGATGCTTTTCCAGGCTGCTTTCTATGTAAGACATAGTTAAACAGATACATAATAAAGAATAAAAAAATGTCTGCCTTGCATGGCATAAGGAAGGAAGTGGGGAACATTTTTCATAGTATTTCTGTGTGGGGAGCAGCACCAGTAGATCAGCTGTGCCCTGTAAAAGATATATTAATTTAATTCCCATTAGGACTGATATTATTTGCTCTTACAGATCTGTTGCTATGTCTCATGCAGCTGCACCCATCAAGCCTGAAAAGAAGAAACCTAGAAATAGCAACATCCATGGACAAGCTGAGGTGCATGCCACAGCCAGATGTGGAGATCAGCATGTCATAAAGACCCAGAAATGATTCTTGCAGCAAGTACAAATGCTGCAGGATTTCTTGCTGTTGGATGTGTTAGACTTACTGTAGCCTCCATCCGAGCTTATTTCTGGTACAAATATTTTCCAGTGATGATTAGAGGTATCTGTGACACACAGGTGGTATTCTGCAAAAAAAAGAGCTGGAAAGCCACAAGCCTACGAGCTCAGCTGACATGGTTAAGGCACATCATCTTCTATAGCCTGAGGCACAAACAAGGATGATGTGGCTGGTATTGCATGAAGCATTTCCCCTGCCCTGCCAAATGACCAAAGACCTGCTAACAGTTGGATCAGCAGAGAAATGGCTTTCACGGGAGCCAAAAAAAAAGGCTAAAATGTGTCTGTTAATGTGGTGAGACAATCTGCTGGGGTCCCTGAAACGAAGATGAGTGACAGCCCTCGTGTGAAAAGACAGTTGAGATTTTCTCCTCCTGCAGAGGAAAAATTACTGGAGTTATGTGAGACCTGCCCCCACTCCATCAGCACTTCGAGTTTTTACAAACTTATAAAAGCTGTTAACACCTCCTGCTATTTCAGACCCCCATAGGGGGAAAGAAAAATAGGATGAAGTCGTTCAACCTCCTCAAGCTCCTGCTCGGTGCTCCTGAAATTTAAAATGCTTTCCTTTTCAGGGAGAGATGCCCAGAGGAGACACAATTGCTACCTGAGCTGCAAAGGTTTGCCTGGAGGCAGGACACTGTAACACTGCAGGGTGAGGATCCTGAGGCTGGATGAAGAACTTGGCCATTCTATTACAGGGTATGTGGAGATGGGGGAATATTCCTTACTGCAAGGCTGAGGATAAGCAGAAGCTTAGAACAGGGCCTATAGTGGTATGGGCATGGGTATGGCACAGCATTCCTGCTGTGAGCCCTGCAAGGGCTCCCTCCTGTAAAAATCCCTGCAACAAAATGCTCACAGGGGATATTTAAGTTTGGGTTTTGTTGTTTTGTTTTTTTTGGTTTGTTGTTTTTGTTTTTTTTTTTCCTGTGTGGCTTTTAGATTAGATTCTGTTTTGTGCTAATGTATATTTTTACAGCTGAATGGTGGTAAATCCCTAGCCTCAAAAATCTATCTTCCCCCTTAGAAAAAAAAACCCAAAAAATCCTTCCTTCTAATATATTTATTCACTTATATTTACTTATAAATGGAAATTAATAGCATCAGATAGCCAAGGTGCAACTTTTCCATCAGAAGCAGAAGCATCAGTAGGTCCTGTGCATTTATAATGATTAAATATCAGTGGTGTCTGTCACACATGAATGAAGCTGTACCAGGAGCTGACTGTCCTATACAGAAAGAACTTGGCTGACAATTTTTTCTGTGCTTTTTTAATAAACCTGTTACCTATCCCCGAGCTATCCTCTGGTTTATGCCAAGGTATCACTATTTTCCATGAGATGTACTTGCTTCAGTTTCTAATACAGTGCAGAGAACATAGTCAGCAAGCTTGTATGAAATTTATACCTTCATCAGAACTATCAAGGAATTATTTTCAATAGGACAACTGAGAGCAATCACACTACTTAATATCATCATGTCAAATGAGAGATTATTGTAATATTGCCAAAATATTTATCAAATAAAGTAGGAAGAGGATATTTTCAGTTCAGCTGTGGAATAACCACATCTGAACAACTGGGATCCTGTGAGTATTTTTAACCTGAATGACCTTCAGGCTGTGATGACTCTGCATATGATACATGCATGTAAAGGAAGGGTGTTGCTTCTCCTGCTGCTGCTTCAAAGAATACCACGTGGAGGAAGGAGACATATTTAAATGCAGAATTACAATTGGGTCATCTGAAATAGTTCTCTGTGCTTTGCAGTTGCTTTCTTGAAAATATCAAGTGCCAGACTCTTTTTGCAAATTTTTCTTCAACAGTTTTTTTGATTTAAAGTATCCTGTTTATTTTGAAGTGTCGATTTAGCTGTGTCATCCTATGTATTATCATCAAGGCAAGCTGCTTTAGTTAACCCAGGAAATTATTGTTTTCTGGGAATACAAACGCTAATAAAGCTATTGGTGCAATAAATTATTTTCTTTTGTATGG